GCAACCTCCGTCTCCTGGGTTCAGGCAATTCTCCTGCCTCAGCCTCCTGAGTAGCTGGGATTACAGGCACGCGCCACCATGCCCAGCTAATTTTTTGTAGTTTTAGTAGAGACGAGGTTTCACTATGTTGACCAGGATGGTCTCGATCTCTTGACCTCGTGATCCACCCGCCTCGGCCTCCCAAAGTGCTGGGATTACAGGCTTGAGCCACCGCGCCCGGCCTAAGGGAGACAGTTTTTATAAGGATATTCCTTTCAGTGACAAATTACCTTGTTGAAGAGTATGGACATAAAGAAGAGATCCAACAGCATGGTCTCTGAAAAAGCTGCATAGTCAAATTTGAAAAAGAGCACAGTAAAGATGACTGTGACATACTGATATGTAGGGCTGCTAAAAGAGGATCGTAGCAACTTCAAACCAGCAATGGTGATCATTAAAGCACCTAATCTGTGACACAAAGAAAACACAAATCAACTCATGACTGAAAACACTAGAAGAGACAATAACTTAAAATAAAATTCACCATTTACTTTACTAAGCTTACAATGCATACATTAAATGGAAGCTTCCAAAAAATGATGTCTATAGCTAGGTAAATCACACCCGGAAAGTATATACTTCCTTTTAATACTATTCATTATGATTCTTATCCATTATATGAAGGACCATGTTTTAAAAATAATCATATTGTAATTCTCATATCTAATTCTCCAGTTTCTCAATATTTCTATTACTTTAACATCAACTGCATTTAGCAAATGAAAAACATATTAATGCTTACTCAACAACAGGTACCTCCCCTATTGGGCAGGCCTATCAGACCACCATGGCTGACCATCTAAATGGTGTAAGTTACAAGGTGCATCAAAATAGCCAACTAATATTAAAAATTAATCTTATTTTAAAAATGTCCTCCCATAAAATATTAATTGACAATGAAATGTCTGGAGTAGAGAATATGCCAACAGTGGAAACATGTTTAAAAAAGGGAAGTCAAGGACAAAATGTCACCTAAACTTTTAGTCTCACAGTACCTTGCATGAAGGAAACATTCAATTATTATTCAACATTTTACCAACAACTTAAGACATTGTTTATAACAGCCCCCAGAAGTCAGACAAGATTAGAAGACTATTATACTTACTCTGTATCTAGTTTCTTTGGACTAGCAATTGCCTCTGCACTGCTGCTAAGTTCATTGAGAACAATCAATGGATAGATTATATTCTTCTCCATGAAAAGAAGCCACACATGAAGTTTCTCAAACCACATCATAGTGGCCGCATCTAACAAGGCAATATAAATCAAGAAAACTACATGTTATCTAACGTATAGTTTGTCAATGTGATGAGAAAGAAAAATTTTACAACTCAAATTTAGTACCAAACTACATATAAAATGTTTTTAAAAAGCCAGTACTTTAATCAACTGTCAACTTCAATGAGCTCTGAGATACTTACAAATTTGTGACTTAGACATGATTTAACATTTAGATGAGTTTCGTTTTAAACTTTAATTCTTGAAACCTCATATTTTAACGATAACTTTTTTCATTTATGCTTACAGCTTATGGAAAAAGATTACTGAAGATTATGACATTGGTTCTTCTACCCAAAATAAATAAAAATATGATATGATTTGAATTCACATACTTCATAAGAGTCATTTTCATTGGCAATAATATTTTTTCCCAATGCTACAAATTATTTCATTGGAGAAAGTGTCTAGAATAAACTGAAAGATTTAAAACATGGTTCTTTGGCTATCTGAAAACAGTATTATCTGGCTTTAGGAAGTTCTCTAAGAAATAATATTTTTTCTTTGAGTTGCTAAAATCAGGACAGAAGAAACAACAACTTTGCTGTTAGTACTATAAATTAGTCAAATGTTATACTGATTCAAAATCTGTATTTAAATTAAATGTTCTAAGACTTCAAAATTTTAAAAAAGATCAATATTTTAATGAAAAGTGGTGGTTTTTAAAACAAACTAGATGTGTCATCATTTATATATGAAAGCAATAATAGTTCACCATTAAAAACATATCTCATTCTGAATTATTTTTCTGAGGGTATAAATGGGCCAATAAAGATTCTCAAGCAGCTTCAGATCATGCCTGTAATACCAGCACCTTGAGAGGCCAAGGCAGGCAGATCACCTGATGTTAGGAATTCAAGGCCAGCCTGACCAACATGGAGAAACCCCGTCTCTACTAAAAATACAAAATTAGCTGGGTGTGGTGGCACATGCCTGTAATCCCAGCTACTTGGGAGGCTGAGGCAGGAGAATGACTTGAATCCAGGAGGCAGAGGTTGCGGTGAGCCAAAATTGTGCCATTGCACTCCAGCCTGGGTAACAAGAGCAAAACTCCGTCTCAAAAAAAAAGATTCTTACGCAGTTTCATGTCATTTTTCTTTATTAGGAAGCTTTCAAAGGCTTTGGGGTTCTTTAAAAAAGTTATATTTCAAGCAGCTGAATGATTTACTCTATAATAATTTGCTAACTGAAAAAAAACCGTGAGAAAAAAGTTGGCTGATTTAATCATTGGTATGTAATTATGACATAGATATGAACATTTATTATTTTTCTAAAATGAGGAGGTACAATATATTACAGATAACACGGTCAATGAACAAGAACTGAATACTTACAACAGGAAAGAAATGTCAGGGTTTACAGAGGCAAGGAAGAAGCTTAGCAAGTGAACAAGCCTTCTATCTTTTTTTCATCATTTTATACTTTATTGCAAATCTGAACTAATAACAGCAATTAAAAATGTTTTTAATTTCTTTTCACTTTATCAACTCTTTTACACTCCTTTCTGGTAGGACACAGTGTCTCTGGCAGAAAAAGGAACAAAGACCTTTCTTCCTCCCTAGGCATTAAAACTATTTCAAATAGAGAGACCTTAAAGAGGATTGGATTGCCTGCATATGGCATTGAAAACTAATTAGGGGGAACAATAGGGTCAGGAAAGAGAAGTAATAGGCATACACAGGAGGATTCATCAATGAGAATTCTGTGAATAATAACATAGAGAGGGGAGAAGTAAGTTTCTTCTGTGGAAAATTGGCACTGTAGCACTGACACTCATATTTCAGCTAAAATAAAGCATCCTGCAAGATATTAGATTCATTAACAGCTACAAGCTTAAGCAAAAGAAACACAAGCCAAAATATTCCCTGATGATATTCATTTAAATCAGTCATCTATCAATACAGTAAAGGGAAAAGTGCTAATGAAATACTTACTTCGAACTTCATATTGATTATACTCTACTGTCTTTAGCAGAGGATGAGAGAAACAGTGCCATGGTAGCTGTTTTCTAACTTGAGGCAGCACATAATGTGTTACAAAACCCACAAAGCCAACCAACGTATACAACACATACTTGAGAGCAGGCTAAAAAAAAAAAAAAACAATAAAAGTGATAAAATTAGGAGTGATTTTGAGACTCACTCTAGAAATTCTAATTTGCCAGTTCAATTTTCCATTTGATAATGAACAACATCCATTTTAAGAATCTAAGAACAAGGTATTTTCTACAGTTAACGTTTCTAAATTATGTAGTTTGTTCTAATCAGTCTTGAAAGTTAGTGACTATTCATATATCACAGATATTTTGAAATGTGTTAACTACTTTCTCTGGTGTCTTATACTACTGTATAATAAGAGAGTGCCCTAAGGTGTATTGCCTATTACATGAATGTTCTACGAGATGTTTAGAGCAATATATTAAATTGTTTTCAGAGCAGAGATAATGGGGTAAGGCAGGGTCCACCTGGAGCAGTTGGCTGCATGCACTAATTGATAGTACATGGCTTAGTGCATGGCTGTGTGCCTGTCGCACTGCATGGAGGCCCAGGTATCCTGTAACCACCAGCCTTGTTCACTGTGGTGTTCTCATCTATAACCATCACTGACCTGTTCATCACAGCCAGCAAGAGCTCAGTCTTTCCACCGCTACCCCTCATGCTTCACAGGAGGGTCATCTGTTTCTTCCTAGACTGCATCACCAATTACAACAAGGCCTAAAAGCTTGATGCATACCTGTGCAAGCGCACAGGACAGGGACCATTTATGACTATGAAGGCTGTGGCAAGGCCTTCAACAAGGATCGTCATCTGAGGTGCCATATCCTGGTTCATACTGGAGAAAAGCCATTTATTAGAAAGATGTATGCATCTTAAAACTTCTGTTCCCTGCTACAACCAACAGTCAAGTATGCCGACTAAAGACTCGACAACCACCACCACAGGCACCCATGTATGCCAACCTATGGCCCAAGGACTAGTGAATCCAACCTACTGCAGCCGCTACTGGTGCCTGAGGACTAGCCTGCCTAGCTCTGTATCCCTAGCAATGCCTCATCACAGCCTCTATTAACAAATGCAGCCTAAGCCACTGAGGAACTGACACCAATTACAGCCAAATAAATCATATGGAGAGTACACTACCATATATACCCAGAATCAGAGCCAAAGCATCCTGTCCAACCAACACCATAGGTACAGCTACAGGAAACAGTCTTTCTTTCCAAACACCAATCCATACAATTGGAAAAAACTGTTATACCAGATGTGCAGATATCAATGTAAGGACATAAGAAACATGAAAAAGCAAGAAAATACAGTATCACTAAAGGAACATAATTTTCCAGTAACAGATACCAAAGAAAAGGAAATCTATGAAATGTCTGAAAAAGAATTCAAAATAATGATATGAAGGAAACTCAGTGAGATACAAGAGAACACATATGAATAATACAAAGAAATCAAAATATCAACTAATGATCTAAATGAAAAACTCAACAAAGAGATATATCATAAAAAGGAAACAAACAGAAATTGTGGAACTGAAGAATTCAACAAATGAAATAAAAATATAAGCAAGAGGTTCAACAACAGATTAGATCTAGCAGAAGAAATAATTTCTGAACTTTAAGATGGGTTTAAAAAAAAGACAAACCCTCAGACCAAGAAAAAGAAAGAAAGAAAAAAAGAATTTAAAAACCTCATATGATATATGTGACACCGTAAAAATGACTAAACACATTTGAATTTTGGAGTTTCTAGAAGCCTATTTAAGAAAATAATAGATGAAAATTTCCCAAGTCTTAGAGGAAATACAGACACCTAGATATGGGAAGCACAGGGTTCCCAAATACAGTTCACTCAATAAGGTCTTTTCCAAGGTACATTATAGTCAAACTGTCAAAAGTCAAAGACAAAAAGAGAATTCTGAAAACAGCAAGAGAAAAGAGTTAATTTATATACAAGGAAATCCCCATCTGACTAACATCTAATTTCTCAGTAGAAACCTCACAAGCCAGAAGCCAGTGGGGTAATACATTCAAAGTACTGAAAGAAAAAAACTCTTCAGCTAAAAACAGTATACCCAGAAAAGCTTTATCCTTCAAAAATAAAGGAGAAATAATATCTTTACCAAAAAAGCAAAGACTAAGAATTCATTATCAGTAGACTGGTTCTACAAGAAATTATTGAGTCCTATAATAAGTAGCAGAAGGATGATATCTACCATCATGAAATTCATGAGAGGATAAAATCATTGGTAAAGAAGATAAATGATTTTTTTTAAGTCATATGTTATTACTACAAAAAAAAAATCAAATTGAAGGGTAAACAATATTAAAGCAAGAAAGGAACAAAGGATATAGAGAACATTCAGCAAACAATGAACAAAATGATGGGAGTATGCCTTCGTCTAGCAAAAAACCGTGAATGTAAATGGCTTAAACTCCCCAGTTAAAAGATGTAGACTGTCCAGATGTGTATCCTGATGCCAACATAAATATAAGTAAAAATATAGTCTGCTTGAAAAAGAGCCAACTATATGCTGCCTACAGGAAACTAACTTCACCTATAAACACACACATAGACTGAAAGAGAAGAAATTTAAAAATATATTCCAGGCAAATAGAAATCAAAAGCATGGTGGCAGAGCTATACTTGTATCAGACAAAATAAACTATAAGTCAAAAGACATGATGTACTTGTATCAGACAAAATAAACTATAAGTCAAAAGACATGAAAAGAGACAACGAAGGTCATCATATAATACAGGGATCAGTCCAGAAAAGGGTATAACAACTGTAAATATATGCACCCTACACCAGAGAATGCAGATACATAAGGCAAGTATTATTAAAGCTAGTGAGACAGACCCCAATATAATAATAGTTGGGAACATCAACAACCCAATTTCAATATTGGACAGATCACCTAGACAGAAAATCAACAAAGAAGTATCAGACTTAGTCTGCACCATAGAACAAACGAACCTAGCAGACATTTACAGAACATTTATGTCATCCAATAGCTGCAGAATACACATTCTTCTCATCAATACATGAGACATTCTCCAGGACAGACTACATGTTATCACAAAACAAGTCTCAACAAATTTTTAAAAATTGAAATCATATGAAGTATCTTCTTAGACCATGAAGAAATAAAACTAAAAATAAATAAGAGGAACTTTGGAAACTGTACAATTAAACGGATGTTAAACAATGAGCTCCTAAATGAACATTGGGTCAATGAAGAAACTGAAAATAAAATTTAAAAATCTCCAAAACAAATGAAAATACAACGTACTAAAACCTATTGAATATAGCAAAAGCAGTGCTAAAGGGAAATTTATAGTAATAAATGCCTCCATAAAAAAGTACAAAGAGTGCAAACAACCTCATGATGTACCTCAGGGAACTAGGACCTACGAAAGATAAGAGCAGAAATAAATGAAAGTAAAATGAAGAAACAATACAAAAGATCAAAGAACTGAAAAGTTGGGTTTTTTTAAAAAGAGATAAAATTGACATATCTTTAACCAGAAAATGAAAGAGAGAAGACCTAAATAAATAAAATGAGAGATGAAAAAGGATATATTACAACTAATACTGCAAAAATTCAGAGTATCATTAGTGGCTACTATGAGCAACTATATGCCAATAAATTGGAAAATCTAGAGGAAATGGATTAATTCCTAGACACATACAACCTAGCAAGATTAAACAATGAAGAAATCCAAAAGCTGAACAGATCATAACATGTAACAAGACCGAAGCCATAATAAAAAGTCACCCAGTAAAGAAAAGCCCAGGACTAGATGGCTTCACTGCTGAATTCTTCCACTGTTGGTGGGAATGTAAGTTAGTACAACCACTATGGAGAACAGTTTGGAAGCTCCTGAGAAAACTAAAAATAGAGTTACCATATTATCCAGCAATCCCAATGCTAGATACATACTCAAAATAAAGGAAATCAATTTATTGAAGAGATATCTGTATTCAATGTTTGTTGCAGCACTGTTCATATTAGCCAAGACTTGGAGGTGACTTGGAGGCAACCTAAGTGTTCATCACCAGATGAATGAATAAAGAAAATGTGGTACACATACACAATGGAGTACTATTCAGCCATAAAAAACAATGCGATTCTGTCATTTGCTATACCATAGATGGAACTGTAGGTCACTGTGTTAAGTGAAATAAGCCTGGTACAGAAAGAGAAACTTCACATGTTCTCATTTATTTGTGGGAGCTAAAAATTAAAACAATTGAACTCATGGAAATAGAGAGTGGAACGATGATTATCAGAGACTGAGAAGGGTAGGACGGGTGGTGAGGGGAGGTAGCAATGGTTAATGGATACAAAAAGTAGTAGAAAGAATGTATAAGACCTAGTATTTGATACCACAACAGGGTAACTACAGTCAGTAATAATTTAATTGCACATTTAAAGATAACTAAGAGTATAACTGGATCATAACACAAAGGACAAATGCTTGAGGAGAGGAATACTCCATTTACCATGTGATTATTACACATTGCATGCCTGTATCAAAGTATCTCAGGTACCCCATAAAGATATACACCCATTATGAAAAAAAATGAAGAATGTCTAGAGGAATAATGCCAGAAAATTTCCAAATTTAATGAAAACTATAAACCACAGATTCAATAAACCCCAAGCACAGAAAAATGAACTATGTGAAGGTACATCACAATCAAATTTGTAAAAACTAGCAATAAAAAGATAGCGTAAGAAAAAAAATAAGTTATCTACATAGGAATAAATTCAGTCAGAAGCAAAAGGGAGAAGACAGTGGAGCAACATCTTCATGCACTAAAAGAGAAAAAAAAACTGTCATCTTAGAATTTTATACCCAAGGAAGTATCTTTCAATACCAATGGTGAAATAAGGACTTATTCGGAACTACAAAAGCCAAGAAAACGTGCAGATTTTCACCACAAGAAATGTCCTAGGACAGCCAGGTGTGGGAGTTCACACCTGTCATCCTAGCACTTTGGGAGACCACGGCAGGAGGATCACTTTAGCTCAGGGGTTTGAGACCAGCCTGGGCAACACAGTGAGACTTTGCCCCTGAATAAAAAAGAAATGTCCTAAGAAATCTTTCAAGTAGGAGGAAAATGACACCAAATGGAAACATGGATATGCACAAAATAATGCAGGGGACTAAACATGATAATTACATGCCCTACAGATGAAAGGAATAGTTGATGAGCTGTACTTAAGGAACAACACCTAAGAAGCCTTACTCTTACCTGAACCTGATTTAGATAATAACGTTCTAGACTTTCAACTTTTCTGGAATGAGACTTTTGGGGGTTTTAGGAGAGGGTATGTACACTTTGCGTATACAAGGGTCGATCATGGAGGTCTACTAATGGACTGTGGTAGTCCAGCTTCTGAAATGGTTCCCATGATCCTTGCCTCTTGCTTTTATACTTTAATATATTCTCTTCTCACATGTACCAGGGTTGGTCTATGTACACAACAGAATATGGAAGAACTGGTGGCATGCCATATCCAATATCAGGTTATAAAAGAGTACAGCTCCTGTCTTAGGCTTTGTCTCTCAAGGATCACTTGCTCTGGGGGAAACTAGCTGCCATTTGTGAGTACAGTTAGGCAGCCTATGGTGACAACCACATGGAGGGGAACTGAGGTCTCTGGTCAATAGTCAGAAGAAACTGAGGCCTGTAAACCGTGAACTCAGATGATTGTAGCATCATGAAAGATCTTGAGCTAGAATCATCCAGCAAAGCCACTCCCAGATTCATAACCCAGAGAAATCATGAGAAAATAAGTATTTGTTGATAAAAAACAAAATGTCATGTATTTCAGTACTATGGACAAACATTAACATCAAATCAGAAATCAGTCCAAACAAAGTTATAGTCATGTGCTGCTTAACAACAAGATGCATTATGAGAAATGTGTGAGAAATGTGTTGTTAGGCAATGCCATCATTGTACAAACATCAGAGTGTACTCACATAGATAAGACAGTATGGCCTACCACACACTGAGGCTATGTGGTAGAGTCTACTGCTCCTAAACTACAAAAATGTATAGCATGTTACTGTACTGAATACCATAGGCAACTGTAACACAATGCAAGTATTTGTGTATTTAAACATAGACAGGCTAGGTGCAGTAGCTCATGTCTATTAATTCCAGCACTTTGGGAGACTGGGGCAGAGGAATTGCTTGAACCCAGGTGTTTGACACCAGCCTGGGCAACACAACAAGACTCAGTTTCTACTAAAAACAAACAAACAAACAAAATTCTTCAAATTAGCCTGGTGTGGTGGCACACATCTGTAGTCCTAGTTACTTGGGAGGCTGAGTGGGAGGATCGCTTGAGCCCAGGGGTTCAAGATTGCAATGAACTGTGATTATAACACTGCACTCCAGCCTGGGTGACACAGTGAGATCCTATCTCAAACAAACAAACAAATAAAAGAAGAAAATGATTCCTTACCTGCAATACTGTGAAGACTGTGCTTACATGAATAGCAAAATACAGCACACCAATTACAATGCATACTACTAGGTCAGACTGCAATCGTTCACTCTGTAGGGGTAAAAAAGGATTATTAAACAATTACATAAAAATTTTAAAAATCTTTTTCCTTTATTCCCAATTGGTAAAGTTTAAGAAATAACTTTTTGCCTGGCTAGCTTGGTTGGTATTAAAGAAAAAAAAACAAGAATTTTTCATTGATACTCTAACACTTCTAGATCCCATTCCCCCTCCGTCCCTGCACTTCTCTTTTTCTCTCTCTCTGGAGTTTCACTCTGTTGCCCAGGCTGGAGTGCAGCAGCATGATCTCGGCTCACTGCACCCTCCACCTCCTGGGTTCAAGCGATTCTCCTGCTTCAGCCTCTCAAGAAGCTGGGACTGAAGGCATGTGCCACCACACGCCACCACACCCAGCTAATTTTTTGTATTTTTAGTAGAGACAGGGTTTCACCATGTTGGCCAGGCTGATCTTGAACTCCTGACCTCAAGTGATACGCCCACCTTGGCCTCCCAAAGTGCTGGGATTACAGGCGTGAGCCACCACACCTGGCCACCCTTCTATATATTTTCTAATAATAATTAACCGCAATAAATATAATAATAATTAACCATAATAATTAACCACAATAAATCTTATTTTCTTCGTCAATTTCCTCAAATTTTGACACTGTAATGCTAAGGAAACTGAATAACTTATCTAGTTCTGCATGCCATATAACATATTACAATAGAGTCTTTTAGAATGAAGATTTTATTCCCCCATTGGTCTGTACTTTTTTTTTTTTTTTTTTTTTTACAGAGTCTTGCTCTGTCACCTAGGCTGTAATGCAGTGGCACAATCTCGGCTCATTGCAATCTCTGTCTCCCAGGTTCAAGTGATTTCCCTGCCTCAGCCTCCTGAGCAGCTGGGATTATAGGCACGCATCACCACGCCCAGCTAATTTTTTTGTGTTTTTAGTAGAGACAGGGCTTCCTCATGTTGGCAAGGATGGTCTTGATCTCCTGACATCGTGATCCACCTGCCTCGGCCTCCCAAAGTGCTGGGATTACAGGCGTGAGCCACCGCGCCTGGCCTGTAAGTTTTTCTTTTACATATGGGGCAACAAAATAAGGTACCTTAAGTTACTATAATTTTTGTTTGTTTGTTTTTGAGACAGGGTCTCACTATGTTGCCCAGGCTAGAGTACAGTGTCTTTTCACAGGTACAGTCATTTCACACTAGAGCTCAGAACCCCTGGGCTCAAGGGATCCTCCAGTTTTAGTTGCCCAAGTACCTGGGACTACAGGCACGTGTCACCACTCCTGATCATAGTGCCATTTATAGGGGTATATCCCTTTGGATAATTTATATGTTCACTGGTCTTTCAACATGTAAAAACCATGTGCTTAAGTCCCATTTTACTTACTACATTTTGGTTCTATCAGTGGTTATAGAAAAACCAGAAACCTCTTGGTATCTTTGGTCATCAACTCACCTCTTAGACTTACGCTTATAAGCATATTCAGAATATCCTACTATACTTACCATGAAACATCCTCTGCCAATATGGAAACTAAAGTTAGAAAAAAGCCATTCTAATATCTTGAGAGTTTTATATTTCTAAAGTTTCTGAAAGAATACGTGAACAGGTCAAGCTCCCTGAAAGTAAATGCGTCTAATTCAACATCTATATAAATTCAGTCTTTTACAAAGGAAAATTACCTAAATCTGAGAAAAAGATTTTGTTTTACTCCATAAACAGACATGAATTTACAGAATTCATTTCTCAAATAGTGAAAGAATATAAGCAACATTGTAATTCACTAAATTAGAAATTTTAAAAATTACTGCATTTCCTTAAGTATAGTAAATTAATAAAGGTTATTGTTCTCTCCTTCAGCCTGGAATATACACAGTTTTCAGACTGCCCTTGAGAAATAAAACAACCTAAAGACTAACGAATGACTTACCAAGACATAGTTTTTTTTTTCAACAAGATGAACAATAACAACAAAATGAATCTAATTTATGTTAATACTAATGTTTCAGATCCTAGTCTAAATTGAATAGGAATAAAAGTTCTATGACCAATGAAATTACTTAATTTCACCTGACCTAAAAATAAATGTTTAATGTTCTGTTCTACACACAAACCAAGTCTGAGGAATAAGCATTTCTTACATGTTAATATTTGGAATAAAGACAATCAACAATGTACAACTAATCCTATAAACTATAACTATACATTTTTCTCCAATTGCTAAAGACTTTCAAAAAGTGTCATCATATAACATAATCAACTGTCTAAGATTTAAGTCTTTTAAGTGATTCTAAATGTTAAAACTTACAACAGAATTTCTAAGTTTTTCAGGCAGTGGATCTTTTACTTCAGCTAGAGGGTCTTCTGGATTTTTCTCTTCCATTTTTGGAAAAATCCTGGATTGCACTAAAGAGCTTTGTGTTAAAAAAGAGGAAAAAAAAATACATATATAATCTGAAAACCAATAATTCAAATGGGCAATAAAGTTTATGATAGAAATCAAGTGATTCAAGTATATTTTAATCATTACCAAATGAGAAATTCCAAAATGTTTAGGATACCATAAATAAGCATACAGTGAAAATATTTTTATTAAAACATAGTTTCAATAATTGGGAAGGAAAACACTAATATTCTTAGCCAATCTGATTAGAATGATCCAAAGTTGACATATTTTGAAACTTAATATAGATTAGGCCAATAGCACTTTGGAAAGGCATTGGGAAAAAGAAATTTTGAAAGTTATTTGAGAAAGTCACCAACTTACTTAAATTTCTTTAATTCAATAACAACTGAGTTCACTTACAAAAGTACAGATGGATCACTGCTTTGTCGGCTGAGATGATAAGACACTGCCACTAACAAACCACAAAAAATGGAAAATAGTACTGGAATATGCTGGCCATCCCAAGAATCCTGTGGAAATATGAATTTAACAGAATTATATGCTTCTAATTTACAATATAGCACATAATCCTTTTATGTCAGTATTTTAGAAAAGACAATGAACTTAAATTCAACAAAATTTTTGCCACGTTAATTGTATTTTGTTCCAGAAAAATTTAGATTTATTATTTTCTGATGAGCTAGAATCTAGACACTAGATGTCTTTGGTACTAAAGCTACAGATTTTTTGGGCAAGGGGGCATGAGAGCTCTATTCATACACTAGGAACAATTTGCTTTTGATGCATGTGGCTATCAATTCTTTCACATTTAGTTTGTAGTAAACTGTGTTCCTTTTTGAAGAATAAGATATCTTGACACAGTAAATTTTATACAATAATAGAGCAGAAAAAGACAATACATGATACATTAGGCAAAAGAAAAGGCTGACATTTGGTATGTTGCTTTCTTGATGCCTTTGCTCATATAATATATACGTCCTCCACAGCACTGAGCAGGCATTCAGTAACTGTTTTCTGAATGAATAACTGTGCAACCCTAGAAGGAAATACTACAAAGGCTAACTTCCAAGGCCACCACACATGTGGTCACTCCCATGTGAGCTCTGCTCATTGTAGCATCTCTGGAGTCTATCAGCTTGATACCTGGCAGAGAGTGGGCAATACACTAACTGGAACAGGTAACAGTTCTTAAGTATGTCCTGTGAGGTGGACACTATTCTAATCCTTCATTGTTCTCTGGCGATTCGGAAAGGAAACATGGTAGGAGTGGGGACCCAAATGGTGGTTTTTAATACAACTTGCCTTTTTTCCCACTTAAAAGTAGACTTGAAAATTGTTTCACATCATAACACAGACATTTTATTTTTTTTAATGGCTACATCAAAATCTTATATTGAACACTGTGTAGAGCTGTATCCTTGGATCTTTGTTATTTCCCAAATAATTTTTACAATAACCTTGAAAATATGTATTATTACCACCCAATTTATAGATAAGAAGAGGGTTTAAGTAATTTGTCCAGTTAAGCGGTAGAACCAGAAAGTGAACCCTTGATATGTTTGAATGTACTGAAAAGTTAAACAATATCTTAAGAGCTTGAGAATAAAAGTGAGATAAATACATAAGAAAGCAAAGTATAGAAGAAAACAAAAGATATGGAGGAAGAGCATTTATCCAGTGATAATAAGGTAAACACATCAGGTATATAAGGGAGACAAGAGATGCTACATGAGTAGTCAGGCTGAGGTGAGAGAAAGTTAAGTCAAGCCTCTGGGAGACCCTGTCTTGAGCAATCCGCTTTCTCAACATGAGGAAGCTTTCTCTCTCTCCCTCTCTTCTTCTCTGTCTTTCCACTCCTAAACCCACTCCTTGTGTGTCTGTGTCTTGAATTATTTCTTGGCGCAAGACAATGAACCATGGTGCCTAGAAAGAGCTATAAAGTTTGCCATTGAGGAGTTCCGCCTCTGGTGCCTGTTTGCTCTGTCTCTGATGGCTGCCGGAAAATCTGCTCGTGCTGTGAAGGTGCTGAAAAAGTGTATCTACCTAAAGCCAGACAATGCCACCATCCCTCTCCTTGCTGCCAAGTTATGCAGGAACTCCCTGCACTGATTGGAAGAGGCTGAAAAGTTTGCCAAAAATGTCACTGATGTGAGAGAGAAAACATCAGAGTTCAAGGCCAAAGGCCACTTAGCTCTGGGACTCATGTACAGACGTGAGCAGGCCCTACAGTGAGAGACATCCCACCCACAGAGCTGTTGAGCTGCAGGGCTGGGCTGCCTAATCCTACACTGCAGGATTCCCATAGTCCCCTTCTGTCCCAGGATGGTGTAGAGGTTGGAGCATTCTTGTGTGCTGTCCTGTGGGGACCCCGTGCTGCTGTCCTCTTTGCTTGGTCTGACAGGAGAATAGGAGGGTAGGATGGAGGGTCCTGTGCCAGGGCTCCTGGACCTTGTTTTCATGTGCATTATGCTGGTGGTGCACTGGGCACCTCACTGAGCTTTGAGGGATGATTCACCCACTCAGCCTTGCACCTGCCCCTGTCCCAGCACTTGGCCTGGGCTGTCCCATGTGAAGGGATGTTGGATATGAGGTATAAGAATGTAGACGAGTCAGGGACAGACACCTCCAGGAAGCTTCCCTTGACTGGTCAGGAAATGCCTCTTTTCCATTTGCACATTTTAATTGACAGATATGTACATGTGTGGTGCAGCTGCTCAACAGACACCCAGGGCTCTTGGGTGCAGTGATTTTGGATGCGCTTAGAGTTTTGGTGGAAGGGCTTCTGGCTAAGAAAAAAGTCTTGCACACTTAATGAAGTTTTCAGTGATGTTTGCAGAAAGTTTAAATTAACAATCTTTTTCTGAACTGTTACTATTCTTTAATCATGTTGTTAAATATAATAAAAATGTAAAAAAAGAAATCTCAGGAACAAATGGGTAACTTAATGAATTTGAATTAGTATAAGGCAAAATATCCTTGTAACTATGACCCTGCTCAGGACCTCATTTACGACGATGAGCAAAGGAATATGAGAGACAAAAGCCATAACTTCCTAGACATAAGCAGGGAATCTGGCTTTGAGCTGCTTAACGGCCAAGGCAAATTTTAAAATTAACACTGGCTATATGGGGAAAAAACAAAACAAAACAAAACAAAAACAATACAAAAATGCATTCTAGATTTCTTAGGGAAACAAATAAGAACTGGCTGTCATCAAGATTTAAAAGAAATATCTTGATTGAGTCTTTACAGGAGGGACACTAAACAATGCACCGAAGGACATCAACGTGACAGCCCTGGGATAAAGGGACCACCGTTTTCTTACACACACTCTTGGAAGGTGCCTCCATGCAAAGAGCCGGCATAATGCTGAAGAGAAATGTGGGCAAGGAAACCCTAGAGGTGACCAGACACCCTGGTCCAAATGCAGCTCTCAATGGTTTAACCTAATCTAGGGATATAAACTAGAATACATTCAGGAATAAATGAACCACATGTATTCTAAACGATCTCCAAAAAAAAAAAAAAAAAAAAAAAAAAAAAAAAAAAAAAAAAAAAAAAAAAACAAGTGAATCAATACGAAAACCAAAAAAAAAAAAAAAAAGAGAGAGAGAGAGATAAAGTAAGTCAAGCCTCCAACTTTCATAAAGGTCAGTCCATGGGCTCTGCTGAAGATGTCAGAAAATACAAGAAATAGAAATAAAAAGTAGACATATGGAGATAATGCCAAAAAGAATCAGTTAAAAATAGTAAGTCTGAGGAAGGAAAAAGGGGTTAGGAGATTGCTGTTCTTGCTCTAAGTCCTGTAGAACTATTTGACACTGTGATATTGAATGTACAACTTTAATAAAAATTAAAACTAAAAAATATATATGTATGTCCAGTACAACCACTTTGGAAAACTGCTAATTCCATTTCTAGGTATTTATCCAAGAGAAATGAATACACATGTCCACAAAAGGACTTGTACGATGATGTTCACAGCAGGCCTACTCATAATATTCCTCAACTAGAAACAACTCAAATAAGCATCTCTAAGACGGTAGGTAAACTGTGATATAGGCATACAATGTGGGTAAGAAGGAATTAAAATTAAATGGAATACTTATCTACAATAAAAAGAAACAAACTCCTGATACACACATGGGGATGAATCTCAACAGTATTACACTGAGCAATTAAGTCAGATACAAAAGAATACGTATGGTACGACTTCATTTATATGAAGTTCAAGAACTGCAAACCTAGTGAAAGAAATAACAACAGTAAGTATTAGGAGAGAAAGGAAGAAATGTGAGGAAACTTTCTCAGGTAATGGAACTCTTAGATCTTGATAAGGGTATAAATTACATAGGTATATGTGTTTGTCAAAACTTATCAGATTGTGTACTTCAGATAGTTGGATTTCATTGTATGTAAATTTTGCCTCAACTAAAATAAAACAAAATGAGTATTTAAGAAAAAAACTAAACAAAAGATGCCTGTCTTTATTTGACAAATACTTGACACTACTTACCACTCTCAGACAAAAGAAGAGCATTCTTATCTCAAAATGACCTGTTCATTTAGATTAAAAATTTAGAAATATCATGTACTGAAAGCAATTCATAAACACCACCTGTTGTCTGTGTCCCCACTAATTCGTATGTTGAAATCCCCACCCCCAGTGTGATGGTATTAGGAGGTGGCACCTTTGGGAGGTCAGTAGGTCCTGAGAGTAGAGTCCTCATGACTAGGATCATAGTCCATATAAAAAGGAACCCCAGAGGGCAAGTCCTGTTTCTGCCACTAAGGATATAAGAAGTTAGTTGTCTGCAACTGGGAAGAGAGACCTCACCAGGACCTGACCATCCAGCACCCCAATCTCAGACTTCCAGGCCCCAGAACTGTGAGAAATAAATTTCTATTGTTTATAAGCCACCTCATCTATGGGTACTTTGTTAAAATAGCCTGAATTGTGAGCCTTAACTAAGATAGTTAACTACTACCTCTATTGAATCACTAACTATAAAAATTTTTAAATGTTTATGATTACAACTTGTTGACAATCTTTTAAAGAGAAGTTCATAAGACTCATCTAGATCTTCTAATCCAATAATGTATCTTAAATTGTAGTCCTTGAGCTTGTTTTTATAAGTTTAAAAAAACTTTGATATGAAAAGCAGTTAAATTCTTAACTAGAATTTTAAAATTAATTTCATATCCTGTAATTATGCCTACCCTTATAGCAGATGAGCCTAGTTTTCCATAATCTGTTCCTAATATTAACCTATGACTACTGCGGGAAAAAGAATTTTCTTTTAGTAATGGATAACTATTAAACTACTTTGAAATTCAAAATAGTTGAGAATGAGAATAATGTTTAACATTTAAAGATCATGAAAATTAATGCTAAGTGGCAACAGAAGAAAAAATCACTATTGGTTGATTTTAAAACAACCTTCATATAGAAATACAGCCTTAAAGACAAAACATACTACATTTATTGCTCACCTTTAAAGCTCCGTAACATAATCCATACAATAAGGCTACTGCCACAATGCTACAGATAAAACTGTAAAGTGCTGCAAGCAGGCTTGTAGTGGCTAGACAGGAAAAGAAAAAGGAAAGAAATATGTTATAAAAATATATGGAAAAAAATTTAAAGGTCACTGAAAAGCATTTAAAATATTATAATATCAACAATCATTAAACATCTACTAATTTGAATTCAAAAAATTCAGTTACTTCATTTTGTTCTTTCAGAAAGATTTTGACATGACAAAGATTTGCTATCCTGAATCTTTGCTACCAGATAAAATATATTCATCTTGGAAGTAATGAACATTTATATGTAGCAAGAAAAAATTATCATATGCTTCAAGAATATATCTTATATTAACAAAAAATGTGGAAAAATGAAGCTTTCAGAGCCGGAAAAGGAACTGGAGATGTATTAAGTGTTCGCTGAAAGATATTTATCTATGTAAACAGAACCTGTGTTACCCACAGAAGTAAATTTGTATTCCCATGTGTTAATTTTCAGAAAAAGGTATAGATCTAATTGCTAGCAATAGCAACAACAACAAAATAGATTCAATAGGAATATTACTAATAAGGAATAGGGAATAGCTAAGATATTTAGATTTTAGTTTTAAAACATGGGTAACAGATTTCCTTTAATAATAATTTAATAATAATCATAAAATAAATCTATATAAAAATTCCCTATGAGATATTAGAAACCTATTACCTTGCACAAGGTTGTAAATTATAGTATGACAAAAGCCCATTATCACAAATTACCTACATTAAGCCCTCCTCATAGTATTTAGGGTAATATAATACCAAGAATAGTCCCTAAATATTAGAATTGTCTTCTACCCATTAAACTATGCTGATTGATGAAACCAACTCTGTCTTAATTCAATCCCTTCAAAAAATTTTCAAAACATTAAAAATTCTCTAGTATAATACACAGCAACATAGAAAAAGCTCAGTTTGTACTTAAAATTAAAGCCATGATATCAATATTTTATCACCAGAGAGGATTTCAATGCATATGCTTAGAAAATAGATGAGGCCTGAAAATGTGAAAGTGTGTAGAGAGTGAACTCTAAAGTTATAATAATTTCTTTCCCTTTCATTTTCTCTAGTTGCACACTCATCTTTTAGTAAAATTTTCAATGGTTAAACTAAATAATGGTATATTTTAACCATGGTGTGTGCCAAATAATTATTTTCAGGTTCTACAAACCATTATCTATTCCCCAGTAATATGGCTATAGTCTTATTTTTTAAATAAAATATACATATGATATACGGAAATAGATTTTCTAAGTATATCAGTTAATAGCCACATAGTCTACTCAGTGAACAGAGAAAGTTTTTAAAAGCTTATTTATTAGTAAAATGCTTTTAGATTCTGGTTTTGGTGTTAGCATTCTAAGGATAAAACAAAACTCTGAAACCAAATACAAAGATCTACTAAATGCACATACTGGTTTAAAATCCAAATATAATGCTATGTATCAAACTTCAATCTCTTCAGGATAGATGATCTTTTATAAATACTTCTTAAGTACATACAGGTTCCATGTAAACTCACTATAACTTTAAGTTGCAGACATTATTTTATCACTTCTTACACACCTGCTTCATTATACCTGGCTCTTTCTCTACAGTAGCAGACTTGACTATTTTTTCCTATCCACATTAATTGCTTCTCAGTCTTAAATGATTTAATGTCTTTTTTTTTTTTTTCTTAATTTCCAACAGCTCTATGTATGTTGTTGAAGACTTTC